TGTGTGGCCTACAGTACCATCTCTGTGGCTCTTGTTGTCCCTGTGCTGCTCACCAGACCATATCCCTTTACCCTCTGACCTGTGTCACTTTGCAAACTGCTTTCTGGACATGTCAGCACTCTGTCACCTCATTATGAGACAAGGTGACATTTTTTTCCAGTCCTCTCAGGATTTTCTTATGCCCTATTTATGGGTTTGATATACCACTTTTCCCTGTTATAAAATCTCTGCTAAAGGCTTTGCAGGCTTTATGTTTGATTTCTGCTCACTGCTTCGTGTGTACAGGTTTCTGAAGAATACTAGATGGTGCTTTTACTCTAGTTAGGGGAGGAGAAGGGGGATAACGCACCCTTTGGTCTGTATCTAGGCTTGCTGTAGAGAGGTCCCCCTGGGAGAAGGGAACTAAGAGTGGGAGTAGTTCTGGTTTCATTCATCCGACTTGCTGGCCAGCAGACAAGGGCTGTCATCACAGATTTCAGGGATGAAGGAAGCTCTTTATCCCCAAGAGATAGGAGGGAGCAGAAAGGGACTCATGAGCCAGTTACCTCTGGAGCAAGCACAGCTGCCTGCTCTCTGTTATGCAGAGCTCAGAGTGGATTCTCACTTTTTAAGTTTTCCTGCTTCATAAATATGCAGAGTTGTCAGCGTCTTATACTTCAGTGCCTTGTGCTACAAGAGCCAACAAATTGTTATTTTTCTCGTGCTTGAGTGTATCAATTGAAGATGCCCACATATACGGCTCATAGCTGTGCAGGTGATGAGAAATGTTTTCTCATGCGTGGACTTGAGCACAGAGGTGTTTGAGAGCCAGAAGTTTAAATTCAGGCTGCTTCTGAGTGGGACAGATTTTGTTTAGGTGCGAGTGGTCACTGAGGGCATGGTTGGGTGGCTCTGCAAGTCCATTTCCAGCAGAGAAATGGCAGAAACCTGGGACAGAATGGCAGAAACACTGGGCAGAAAGTTGGAAGATATGGTTTTACTTGTAGAGACACCATTTACCCAACTCCGTCTTATTAAAACTTTACCTTTTTACTGTTAATTTTCACTTTTACCATGGGTTCCTCCTCTTTATTTGAATTGTAAGTGCTTGAGGGCAAGGACTGTTCAGCAATAGTGCCAACTTTGAACACAACCCCTAAGGAATACATCAGTTCAATTAAAAAATTATGATAGTTAAAAGGAAACATCTGTTACTTAATTTTTTATCCTAGTGATCAAGCATTGCCAATATCTATAACAGTACATACAGAGATATGCTTAATGTTATTGCATTTTTTTGTTTGGGATCGTATCCTCAATAGAAAATCTAGATAAACACCAAGCTGGATCAAACCCGCTGTAAGTCAAAAAGAGCATGAAAGCCCTGCAGCCAGTTTGCGCAATTTAGAAGGAAAAATAAATTAAAGCATACTGAGAAAAATCTCTGAAATATGGTGGTTTCTTGTATTTTGCAGCATTTTCAAAGTAAAATTGACTAATTACATATTGTTTATGAAAAGGAAATTTCTTAATCTGTATTGAGAGTGGACTCTGTAGTCTCCATTTGCTATCAAACAGTCATATATGCAGTTGGTTAGAAACTTATTGAGTGATTTAAAGTCCAAGGATGTAGATTTATAGAATCGTAGAAGATCCCGAGTTTGAAGGAACCCATGAGGATCACAGAGTCCAGCTCCTGACTCCACCCAGGGCAACCTAAAAGTTTAAACCAACATGCAGTCCCTGAGCAGCATGAGAATTGCTGTGTGCGAGCAGATACATACGTGTATTGCAGAGTCTCTGAATCTCAGAGGGTGGTTTAGCTCTGATTTAAAAAAAAAAAATTCTCAGTTAGAAAGCACTTTGTATTTTATAGTGAAGAAAAAATCTACAGTTTTCCATATTTAATAAGATAAATAATTGTTTCTAAACATTTTCAAAGACAGGCTATGGAAAAAAGTTCAAAATGGGTCTAGTGAGGTGCTGTGAGCATGGGAGAACAGGAGCAGGGTTAGATTGTATACCGTCGCCTTCAATTATTGTTGACATTCACTTTTATTGGGAAGAGGGAAGTGAGTACAGGAAAAAAACATGAGTAATTAGGAACAGCTCATAAATCTTTTAAAAATGGCATTTACAGCCAATGGTACCATAGGCTATAAGGAATTTGCAGCCAACTAATCCATTTCAGCGTGGCCTAAATTCATTGCTAAGCTGTCTGGCTGCTGTTTGCAAAGACATCAGTGAAGGCATTGACCTTGGTAATACAACCTTGGTGAAAGGAAACCTGAAACAGAGGATGGGCAAGGGCATTGCTGGGGCTACCAGAACTTCACATGAAGTTGTAAGAGGAGCCAAGTGCCTCATCCTTTTCTGTAGCAAGGGCAGGGTTCTGTTATTACTTTTAAAACAGGGGAGTTCCAGGCATTTGGCTCGTGTTGGTTTGAGAAATCAGGTTGAAGCTATACTGCTTTCTGGATCACTTGCAGCAGGAGTGTCAGCAGGTGCTGTCTGAGCTGTCTCGCCTGGGCTGCTGTCACTGCTGTCCCTTGTCATGCTCCCTGAGTCAGTCCGTCATGCCAACAAAGTGCAACAGTCTTGTACTTTGTGCCCCTGAAGCCCATGAGTGGTGCTGGAGTTTCACATCAGCACTGTCACAACCCTCTGAGCTCTTAGGGTGTGATTTTTTTTTTTTTTTTTTTCTTTGCCGGAGCCAAGGAGGTAGACTGCAGGGTGGGCTCAAGGATTACACCTGGAACTGTAAATACAAATTAGTTCATTATGTGACTGCATTATGATCATATAATGTCAAAATGTGGGTGTATAGCTTTTAGCCTTGAAAAGGAGAAAGCCTGGCGAGCGAAGGGAAAGGCTGTGTTAGAGTGAAAGTGCTTTCACTTTTCCTGCCTATTAATTATGTTCCTTCATAGTGCTGCTATTCAGCAAAGTGCCTTCTGCATCCCTGCCAAGCTGAAGTAGCTGCTGGGAAAAGCTAAAGTAGGCCAAATCCTGCAAAAACCTGGAGAGCTCAGCCAGGGTGGCTGGTGATGATCCAAAAGAGTGTGGGGACGGATTTGGCCTCACACAGACAGCACAACGGTACTGAACAAAATAAAATATTCCTGTAAGTTTTTAATGCCAAGAGTCAGTTGCCGCAAGGTAGCGCATAGATAAAAACTTTTAAAAATTGAATAATTCATAGTTTTGATTCAATGTATACAACCTGGGACCTTCAAATCTGCTCTCTAGGTCTCAGGTCATGTCAGCCAGGAGTTATTTCAAGTTCTGGACCACATCTGGCACGGCCCAGGACAGCAGTGTACTCATCATACAGATTTCTGAAGTCAGAACTCCTCAGTTGTCCTTAGAGAAATGCTCATTTTGTTCCCAGCAGTCAATACAGCACAAACAATGTTTTCTTTTGTATCCATAATAAAATGTAAAGACAGTTTCTATAAATAATAAACCAAAGGGAAACATTCTGAAACTCATGGGGATTCTTGAGTTAATGAAATATTTTTAAACTTGATTGTATTTGCATATAGCTGCTTTTGAAGCATTGATGCCTTTTGTTTTCAAAAAAAATAAGAAAGATACTCCACCACCTCTTTATATAGTGTTTATAACAATTCACCCATAGTGAGCTGGTAAGAGCTTAAAAATATACATAAGATCTTCACTAAGCTGTAAAACTTGCACTTTATTTTACACAACTAAAACCCTTCTTTTTCTTTTTCAAAGAAAGGAAAAAAGCAATATTTCAAGTTTTTAAAAAAAGTTTGTTTTTTGATGAAGATTGGAAGGTATTGAACTTTCTGTGAAATGATTCGACATCGGCTGTTGGAGTTGATGGAGACTCACCCTTCAACACGTGCAGATCGAATCAGTTCAATAGATTTTAATAGGCTTCAGTGCAAAATATTCTTCAACCTGTGTAGCAGGTGTTTCTTGTGCAGTGATACACAAGTTGTGTTGCTTTCACAGCCCTCCCTCAGCAGCACTGGGAGCTGAGGAGACCTGTTTTCACATTTATGTCCCTGACTAATTACTGCTTGCTGAAGGAGAGAAAAAGCTGTTTATTTGCTGCTTTGTAAACAAGTAGGCAGTGACTGGGTAAAGGATGGTGAGCAATGGAGCAGGGAGAGCGTTTTGGCTTCTGTGGAGCCTGTAGAGGAAAAAAAATGATCTGCATTGTGAAAAAGGGAGGTGCAATCCTGTTCCTATGCCAGCGCTTTACTCTAGGTTTAGCCAGTTTGTTCTCCAAGCCGTCAGTCCCCTTTCCAAAGCACAATCCACATTACTACCTTCATACAAATGTAGCCCAAAGCAAGGAAGAGCTGCAGATTTTAATCCTCAGGCAGTATTCACATGATAACTGGGCAAGCAAGTATTGCTTTAAATAGCTCAACACATTGCTGTTATTCCAGTGATATGCAGTCCAACTCCACATGAGCAATCGGGGAGAGATTTTGTCTGCCAGGTATCTCCATGACTGCCTTCATGAGACAAGACGTGCCTACAGCATCTCCTTCTGAAACTGGTGCTGTGCCTTCCTGCACCAGGGGGAAGGGACCACCTGTGCTGGGGGATGGCTAGAGGGGTTTCTTCAGCCTGTAGTTTTACTTTTGTGGCCAAGCAGTTTGCAGGTTTTCCTTCTTTAAGCTTTTTTCCCCAGGTGCCAGCACCACCCTGCAGTGCCAATGGAAAGTGGCATCTCCCAATGCAACGACGGCCATTGCTGGCATGTCCTGTGTACGATCCCTCTGGGACCCTGTGGACGTGACAATATTTAGGCTTCTGCAGGACGCTATTTTTACCCAGCGACGAGGTGTTGGCTCGCCTCCTGCCTGTGCGTGGGTGCTGCAGGAGTCATCTGAGCCCGGGTGCGGGGGTGCCGGAGCTCCTGTGACGGCACGTTGCTGCTGCAGCGCCCGCACTGGCCAAGCTCCTCTCCACCGGCCGGACACGCAGCAGAAGGACTTCTGGTGGCGTTTCCCCTCTTGAAGGGAATTAATGTGGGAATGCCGGAAGATACAGGTATAGTCTGATGACTCCACATTTTGGAGAGCCTAGACCTGAAATGAGCTGTCATCCGGAGCTGCGGTAACGAAATCACTGATACTGTTGTGAGAATAATTATTCTGTGTTTACATGGAAACACAGCAGAGTCGAGGAAGGTGGTTAAACACTGATTTTAAATTATGCTTCATATTCTTTTAATTATATGAATGATGATTTGGAAATTATAATGATATTGGTACTTAGCTGACAGCTCAATTTGAAAACTTTCCTCATTTTATTTAATTTAAATTTACTTTAGAGTTTATATTAGATTGTAATGAAAAAAATACATATTGCTTTGTGCAGATATATTGGAGCACTATTCTTATATCCTTTCTCATTGTCACTGTGCTAAACCCATACAAAAATAGCCTTTCCATTGCTTCAGTAATGGTTTCTAAAATTCAGCAGAGATTTTTGCTAACTGCCTTTGCGTTTGGTAAATATTTTATCATAATAAGGAGGGCAGGAGGTTAGCTTATGCTAGGCTTGTTTATGTGACATGAATTTTGCACTGAGCAGATGGTGAGATTTGGAGCTTTCGTGTGCTGAGTACTTGTGCTGTGTTGCATCTCTTAAGCATGGTTGTATTCACGTTTTGCTGGGTGACACCTCTCCTTCATCTCTCATCCCATGAATTCTGTAGTTCGCAGTAAAAGCAGAGGTTGCTTCAGTTGTGCTGTCTGCCTGCTGTCCTGTATCAGCTATACGTTCCTGGTTTGATTATGATCCATAGGAAGTGCTGGAAAAGGCATGCAATCCTTTCCTCAGTGCCAGCAGAAAGGCACTGCAGAAGGTGTTGTTTCTAAATAGCAGAAGCAGGTATACGTTGCTAAAAGGAATGTGATTCTTGAACCATGCTATTTTGTATTTTTGGACTACGTGAATTAATTAAATTAAATGGAGATCTATTGACATAAAGACTTAACTGAATTTGCTGAATTGCCTGTCTTATGGTATAGGAACTAAAGAGAGAGGAAATAGTAGTGCTTTGGTGTAGGAGCCACAGCAGAGATCTTGGAAAGAGCAGCGTGCATTTTTGGGGTGGCAGCTGGAGTACAGAAGAGCCCTGTTGGGGAAGCGAGCGAGCTTGTGTGTACTGGTGTGGGGACAGCTCAGCCCTCTGTATGGCCAGCTGGAGGGTCCGAGGGACAGCGTAATGTGGACTTTCAAGGCAAAACTTCTTTAGGTTTCCCTCTGTCCTTGTGATCTTCTGCTTTGTTGTGAGATGTATGGAAGAAAAAGGCATTGTGTTATAGTGAAAAGGCACCATAAAGCATTTGAAATGGCTTTTAACACAAGCTGCTAATTGAGAAATAAGGTAAACCAGGTTATCACTAGTTATTTAATGTGCTGCTGCAGAACATCTGTTTCTAACACATCTGCTCCTTTGGCAGATTTGGTGCCCATCCATTTGGGCTCACTGTGCTCTCTCCTGCCTTGATGCCTGGACCACCGGGGTGCACGGCCAGGCAGGGCTGGGGTTGGGGAATTGCTCTTCTGTGCTGCCAAACACGGTCGGAAGGATGGATGGGGAAGGCTTATAGAGTCCCTGTTTCACAGTCACTCTTTTTCTCATACTTTCTGTGGGAAGGACTGTCGGGTTCTCAGGCCCCCACAAGGCTCCATAATGAATCACCAGTTCTTAGGAAAGAAAAAAACAACAAACCCCTTATCTAAAGTGAATTTATAGCTCGCACCCATGCAGTTCTCAGAATACTGCATGTGTTACCGCATTACTTATTACCATGTTATGTTATCCTTACCCCCACACCAGCACTCAAGTACTCCTAGTCACTGTATTTTACATGGGGATACAAGGCAGGGAGAGAGCAGGGGCCAGCTTTAGGCACTTAAAACCAGGAATAATGCTTCATGGGATATTTAGAGGCACTTAAATGCTTGTTTCCTTTGCTTTCATCTGGGTGTTTTTCAGTCCAACCCTGAGTGTTTTGACTGAGGTGATACAAGAAGGGTTTGGCAAAAAAACCAACTTGAACTCTGATCTCTTAATTCCGGTCGGGTGCTGCTGCGGTCATCTGCTTCTTCTTTAATCCTACTCAGAGAAGATTGCAAATTTAATTCCCCTCCAGGCTTCTGTGAACCACGCCCTCCCCAAATAATTTGATATAGAATTTCAGCAATCAATACTTTTGTCCTGTTTCTCAAATACTTATAGAGTAAATGGCATTTGAGTCTTATCTTTGTTTATTTTGATTTCCAGTAACTACCTGTAGCTATAGAGATGAAAGGTTTCAGTGTCAACACAGGGATAATTTTCTGCTAATTCCTTCATGCAGAATAATATCTGTATCAGAGATGTGCATTTTTGGTTCAGAGTTGGAATGCGGACTTTGCCATTGAAAAAGCTGAATATTTTAATGAACTAAGCAGCTAATGTTGATAATTTTAGATATTAATGTCGTTCCAATAATTTTTTTTCCACAAAGTATTTTCATCTTATGAAGTGAATGTAATGGGCTGTAAAGAAGGGATGTTCCTCGTGAATCTATAGAGTACTACTGATAGTTGCTAAAGAAAAAAGCTTTTCTGATGAAGGACAGTTGCTGTTGAAGGCAAAGATATTATATTTTATGAGCCTGAAATGAAAGACTTGCACTTTTTCAGTCCAAACTTCAAAACAGGATGGAAAAAACAACCCACAACCCACACACAGAATAGGGGACTTGATCCCCCCCCAAGCCCCTTTGGTTTTCCTTTTACTGCTGCCTTTAGGCTCTGGTTCTGCACTATCCATCCAGGAACCTTGATGAGGAATTGGTACTTTCCCTGCACTGAGAGGCAATTGTTGGGATTGCAAAAACTTGTTCTTTAGAAATAAAATATTTATTCAGATAAGTATTGTCTCTCCGTTCAAATTACACCTTAGTTTAGTTCACAGTATTCTTTTAAATGTCCATATGAAATATCACAGAAGGCCAGGTTGGATGGCGCTTTGAGCAAATTGATCTAGTGGAAGGTGTCCCTGCCCATGGCAGGGGGGTTGGAGACAGATGATCTTTAAGGTCCCTTACAACCCAAAGCATTCTAGGATTCTATGATTCTAAAATTAAATCGTGTCATTTGGCTATTTGGCTTCTGTAATCACCAAGAGCAGTAAATCTAATAAACTTTTTTTCAGAACAGGGTTAAGTGATGTGGAGTGAATATGGGATATGTGGCCTTATTTGTGTCTGTATATTGAACAAAGCAAGTGAAAGTCTTTGTTATTAAAATTCATATTTTTGAGGTTTGATCCAAGAATGAATGTATATTCTTAAGTATGACACTTCTTAGTTTTTCAGCACTTGATTTCTAAGCTCAATAGTGGCTTCTATGGGTCCTTATGACAAGTTAAACCAAAATGCACCAAACTGAAAAAAACATTAGGACTGTGGTGATTTCTGCAGTTTCTGGCTGTATGTGTCTTCATCAGGTCTGTAACCTACCATGAAGATTTCTCTCATTTGGCTGTCAGAGAGCCTGATAGCAAAGGAATTTGTCATCCTCTGTGTGGACCAGTCCTAGACGGGATCTTTTGCCAAGGGTTTGATTTCCTTCAGCAGGCTGCTCACTGCAGGAGAGAAGGTGATGTTTTCCATTCCAGGCGTCAGAGCAGAGCATGACCAGGGACTTGTGAATCTTCTCCCTGAGGCCACTGCCATCAGCTTGTCTTGCGCTGCTTCCAAAACACTCCTGTCTCGGCCAGATCTTGTCCTCATCCCTGGCACCTCATCTTGTTCCCCATTGCTGTTAAATCCTACTTAGTCTTGCAATGCTGAAGGAAGTGTGCTTATTCAAAGGGGTTTTTTTACCTCATATTGTGGATTTTCATGGATCTGGTGTACCTGTCACAATACCCATATCTCTCAGGCTTCAGTCTTATTCCAAGTACTAAAAAAAAAAAAAAAAAAAAGCTATACATTCTTTTTAACATTGAAAAACTATATTGTGTCCTATCCTTTTTTTACACTTTTTATAAAAAGCTTAAACAGTTCATCTGAAATTTTCACTGAAGAAACGAGCTTGAGAACACCACACGTGAATAATGTCTGTGTTGAGGTTTGGCAAAGTTATAAGCACACTGAAAACATAATTTTATGTTTGCCACAAGGTCTCTAATGCAGCTTTAGTAACAAGTGATACCACTCTTCCCTCTTCCCTGTGATAATTACAGCAAGCACATACATCTCGAGCAATGAGTATAGACGTCAATCTGAGGAATTTGTCTTAGTTGACTGAATTAGCAACAGTTTTGTAAGCCCTTTCCAGAACTGCGGAATTATGTACTGCGTAGCCTGTTGGAGAGAGGTTGAGTCTTGAGATCAGAAATATGTGAGCACTGGACATTTGGCAGGATTATTGGCAGTGATGTCCCCAGCAGACAGGTCATTTACACCTATGAAGTGCTGTGGAAAGTGTTTACTCATTCATTTCTTGCCAGTTTTTGTTCTTGTCAAAAAGTAAGTGCAGTCTGATCTTCTTAGGGCTTAGTGGTTGGTGGAGATACCTCTGCTAGAGCAAAATGCAATCTGTCAGAAAGGAAAATGTGGACAATCAGGCAGTCATTTGTGTTTTAATTCAGACAAAGTTGTTTAAAGTTAGGAAGGAAATTTCCAGTTTCATTAGATTCTGCAAATCGGGATATAATGTAAACATTTGATTTTTAATGAGCTCTTTAGCTGTGATCTGACGAGTAGTCTCAGATCATAACATTCTATTGATAATTCACTATTTCACACTTTAAATATGTTGATTGTGTCTTCTGCTGCTTCAGAGACTGATTTTGTTACATAAAGGCATAAAAGTAGAATGCTGACGATTGCCACGTAAATGTATTTCCTTAAAAATTATTTGAAACCTAAGTTAAAATTTTAAGTTGACTAATATAGTTACTTTGTCAAAATTGTCTCAGTAGTTGCAATTTCAACATAAAGCACAGTATATTTTAGAATATTGAAACTTAAGCTAATATATCATTAATTACATCACTTTGTTGTGCTAAATGAACAAATAAGTATTTAAAACTGTCTTCAGAAACAGTTTTTTTAATGAGCCCAAAGGCATTGTATTCCCTCTGGGGTTTTGGGTGAAATATTGATTAGCTTAGTTCTGAATGGAGAGCAAAACAATTATTCATCCGTGTACCATGCATATTTTAAGTATGATTTGTGTTACTTCAAGAGTGATAGAAGAATTCCAACAGAAATACTACATCTTTTCCTTTTTAATTTATTTTATAGCTGAGTTGCTAGTTCTTTTTAAATTCTAAATGTTGATCAAGAGACTTGACGAGAAGCGAATCTGCTAAATAGTGCTGCCCTGTAGCTCTGGACACTGAGCACCACATGCTGTGGGGAAAGTGAAACTTTCTTTTTTTCTGTCACATTGTAGTAATTTTCAGTTTGCAACAGTTTTCACAATTGTTTCACAATTCACAGAACAAATTTGCAACAGTTTTCGGTTTTGTGCTGCTTTGCAGCAAGTGTGGCATTGAACTCCCAGCCACAAGAAAACAAACAAAAAAATGTTTTCTCTGGAAATGTGACAATATTTTCACTTTAGGGAAAGTTTTTGTGTGTTTGACATGGAGGGCTGCCCTTGGGGCTCTCCAGAGGTGCATCTGGGTTGCTCCAGCCCATGCTCAGTGTTGTGGCTGGGACTCCAGGGCCAGGTTACTGCCCTGCCTGCAGGATGCACAACAGCACGAGATCACAGCTGTCTCTGTGCCTCCACACCAGCCAGGTACTGATGCCTCTGGCAAGATGCTGCTCAGAAAGCCTTCACCATGGGAAGAGTCAAGTATTTAAAAAAAAAAAAAAAAAAAAAAAAAGTCAAGTGTTGAATCGCTCCACTCAGAATTTTGTATTACAAATGTAACTTTTTAGGTCAAAATGTTCTGGGTGAGGTCAGCTCTCCATAATTTAATTCTTACATGAATTAGAGGATACAAATGTGATGGTTGTTAGTAATTCTGGAGGGAACAAACCTTCTTTATCCCTGGTTATAAACTTTTAGCACCTACTCTACTAAGTAACTTGGGAAAATACTCTGTTCCTGTTTCTTACAGGGCTGATTCTTTTTCAGGGTGGGCAGTTTGTTTTGGGTAGGTTACAGTAAAGAGGAATTCTCATGTCAAAAGTTAAGTATTGCAAAGGTCAGAGTTTTCTTCATTTTCTTTTGAAGAATAAGGCAGATGTTCATATTAGCTTGAACCGTGTATGCCGTTTGCCCTGTGTAAATTTGAGCATCTGCCTTTCTCTAAACTCCTAATTGCCTGTCGTGCGGTGTTGTTTTTATTGGAGATGTACTTAATTGTAGCCAGGGCTTCAGTAAGAGCTCCAGAGTTCACATTGCCTTGAGCAGGACATTTTGACAATCCAAGAATTTCCACAGACAAGACAGAATGCTGATGGGTAGTGATTAATGCTACAGGCAGCTCAAGCCCGTGTCTGCTTGGGGAAAAAAAAAAAAACCAAACAACTTCATGTGCGTGAGGAGAAAGTGCTGGTTTGGGCAAAACTTGCAGAAGCTCCCCTGGAAGTCTGAGTGGGAGGCTCAGCATCTCATTGAAATACTGAGTCCTTGAAGTTGGTGGATGCAGAAGGGCCTTTTAGGTATCACTGCTGGGTTCCGGTGGTGTGGATGAGGGTGAGAACAGAGGAAGAAGAGCAGCAAGGTTGGGTTTTTGTGGGGTTTTATCCCTTTTTTAATTTTTTCCCCCTTCATAAGACTTTTTTGCTGAAATACCAACTCTGATACTAAAATAGGAATAGCAACTAAAGATCTTGGCCAATCTGAGTTTAACCCAGTCTCTTATAAATTTATTAATCATGTTGCAGCAGTCTCACACAAAAAGTTATTTCCCAGTTTCTTTTTTTGAATGTTGATGAAAGACAAGGGTTGCACAGCAGGGGCATTGTCCCTCGACTAAACTCTGAAGAGAAACATGTCTGATTCCCATTCATACTTAGTGTATTGGCTTATGAGAGGTTGCTCCATCTTGACTGGTTGGTTGGCAAGTTTATTTTGAAGCTAACATTTAAAAAAATTCAGTCACTTTGAAGTAAACAATCCAACCTTAGAATAAGCATGCCACATTACAGAAGAGGGTCATTAAGTATCTAATTCAGTTAAAATGCTTGATGTGTTTTCCTGTTATTAGTTCTTCTTCACATAGGAAAAAAAAAGCCAAGTCTATACTTTCAAGTACACTGTGATAGAAAATTGATGCAAGTACTGTAGGTCATGTCTCACCTGTTCTGCTTAACACATTGGGATGACAATATAATGTTATTGTCAACAGCCCAATAAATGTAATTTCTAATTTATATCACAAGATGGCAGCAAATTTTTAATTCACTTATTATTGTCCTAACTTAGACAAACCTAATCTCTTGAAATCATGGTTTTCTTGCAAAATGACACCAGCCTTTGTTTAATGATCAGGTGTGTGTGGTGTTTACAGAGATGTCAATGTCTCAGAAGTATGAAGTCAAAACATCTACAGAAGTGTATTTTTATCTTAAAATCAGTTAAGACAATTGCCTTGAACTTTAAGGAAGGATCATTAGCTCATAGTGTAATAGTTATTAAATCCTATTAAAGGTATTTTGGATAAAAACAATAGCTTTTATCTATAGTCTTTGATTTCTTGAAAATAAAAAATGCAACAAAGCATTTTTTTTTAAATTCATGTGGAAGCTCTGAAGACTTGATCATGTGTCTTCTTTCCTCCATGAGCAATTCTGATTTATGTTTGAAATGTTTGCAGGTGTGTGAGCTTTGAAGGTTATGAAATGAGAAGCTTGGCTCAGCTCCTTTAGCGGGTCTTTTCTCCTGTGCTGGCCACTAACAGAAGTTAAAACTTTTATCTGCTTGACCTGTTTTGTCCCAGGTGTTGTTATTTGTGGGTCTCACAAAGATGCATCTTATGGTCTTTAAAATGCTCTACCTTTTGTTTTCCCTTGCAGTTTCGCAACCACAGGCTGTACATAGCCAACTGGAGAAGCCATCAAGTACTGCAATTCTCTGCAATAACTGTGGAAAACCATGCAAAGGAGAAGTTTTGAGAGTTCAGAATAAATATTTCCATATTAAGTGCTTTGTTTGCAAAGGTAAGTGTTTGTGACAGCTGCTCCTCTGAGTAGGACATTAACACTGGGCATGTGACTTCATGGTCCTGGAAACTTCCCAAACACGTTTTATGATGCAATCCATGCCTGAAACGATTTACTGTAAACTCTATGACTGCTTCCTTTAAGACTCTAAACATCCTAAATCCTGCAAGTGGAGCATGGTTTGAATAGTTATAAACCTTCAGAGTTTACTAGGGAGTTGGGACCTGAAGAAGAGCAGGTTAAGAGAACTGATAGTGAGATGTGGTGCGGAGTTAGGAGAGAATTAACATTTACAAAGAAACTCAGAGAGTATCCCTCTCCTGTCTTTCTAATGTGTACCATGGCATGGGCCATGGCTACGTCTGTTCAGGCTCTCTCGTGTTGAACTCTGATGTTTGAACCTGTGTGACCCTCTGTGCTTCTCCATTTTTGGGGGGGAGCTACTTGGTTTGCTCCAGGTTGGTGCCTGGCTCTGATCTAATATTGACACGCTGTGAATGGCGGAAGCATGGTCAAGGAAACAGGGAATTAACCAATGCGACACCCCTTCTGTAGACTGATTGTTTGAAAGATTGGAAGTTGCAAAGATCTAAATTGTTTTGAATGTCCAAATGAGTAAATGTTAACTGATGTTTACTGGACAACCCCCTTGCTTCATTATTAAGCTGTACTTCGAATGGCATTTATTAATCCTTTTAGCACTGCCTAGAAATATGAGCATGACTCTGGTCCCAGCTGTGTTAATTTGACTATTTCATTTCTATTTAGAGGAAAACTATGGAAAGAAAACTGTCATTATCTGTCAGCTATGCTGATATTTTTATAAATCCCATGGAATTAAGTGTATAGAATTCAATACCCGAGTCAGTCTTTAGTGAGTTAGGTAGACAGGATTAAATGTTCAGCTCAATAACTGTGTTCTTTGCAAAATTACACAGCAGGAAAAATAAGCCTAGTGCGCTGTCCTAAATAGCAAAAATATTTTGGTCACCTATTCAGAACCAGAATGGTATTTAAAGCAGAACGCAACCCATACGTAAGTGTTTCAAACTCTTTTAAGGCTCCTGTTCTTGTGGCAAATTTTATTATTGGATTAGTTTTTCAGACCTAACTCGGGAAGAGAGCAGATAATTTGTTATTCAGGAGTCTTGTCTCCTGCATGAACCCTCAGTAATGTATTGGTATGTGCTCCCTATAATCATATTGATGAAATCTAAGTCCCCTTTTATACAGATCTGCTATGAAAAAGAAAATTAACATGTCCGGTGGAAAGAATGAGACACAATTATACATCCACATTTTCATTTCATACGGCATCTCCTTTTAGAGGTTCCCAGGTCACCCGCAAATGCAGGAAGTGGATTCTGAAACTATTCACTGATCCCAAATTTAGGCGGCGCAGAGGCTTTTTTTCCCACCCCCGTGTAGGAGAAGATGATGAATGTACTGCAGAAGCTGTATTACCCCTGCTTGTCTGTAAGAGATAAGAAGGAGTTTATTTGCTTCAGGCAAGACTTGGATAAAATGAGAAAAAAAATCTCAATGTTAACAAAGAAGAAACAGGATAGCATCTGTCAGCCACCCATCAGACTCAGTTGGCACGGGAGGTAGTGTCAGAGATGTGTGGTTAAACTGCTTCTTGGTGTCAGGACTCTTGGAATGCTTAAATTCCTCCTTACTAATCATTTTGCTAAGTGCTAAGTTTGCACCCATTTTTTTCCCCCCCTCATTATTTAAAAGAAGTAATTCCTTTTATCACTCTTCAAGGGTTTCCATCAATTTACTGGCATCCTTCTGGTATCTGTTTTTGTTTTGTTTCTGGGTTTGTTGCTTAAGAAGCATAAGTTGCTTTCTAGTGTGGATTTACCACATTGTTACATGAGAAGAGCTTAGGAACAGAACAGAGCACTGAACATACATTTCACTAGCTAACAGAAAGGGATAGAAATCAGGTTAGGCAAATGTGATTTGAGTGTTTAACCACGTGCTCAAGTCAATGGATTAAAAAATATAGTTAATGTTTTCAGGATCTAGGAAAAAAATGGTATTCAGTTCTCCTGGTTGGTTGACCACCTACCTCCATTCAGACTTGGAGGAGAGGTTCATGCCCCAGCTCCTTTTCTGAGCCCCTTTTCTCGTCCTGCCACGGGCAGGGTGATGATCCTGGGAATATGTTTACCTTACAGTTGACTCCTCCCTGCGGTGCATTTATTTTGATGGTACTCAGCCATGCAATTTGCCCCCTCTCACCTCATCTGCCAAAGATAGCACCTTGAAAGAAGATGTGTGGCCAGCATCCAGCACAGCGCAGGATGCTCCCAGGACACATAATCCCACATGTGGGCTGGCTGCATTGCCCTGATGAGCTGTCTGCCTGCTAAGGTTGACTGCTTCTGTGTTAGATCATCCCATAGCCTTCATCAGAAAACCTTAGATATTTGTAAATCTGCAGAAAATTGTTTCTTCTCAGAGTATTTACAGGTGGATGATGATGGAGAACGCAAACTGGCAAAGAGTCCATGAGGAAGAATGACGAATGACCATGTCTTGAGAGGGTGTCTTGAGGTATTTGAGGTCTGTTTGAATGACTTGATCAGTGACACGATGTTGCACTGAAAGAAGTCACACTTAAGTTTCTGAATATGTGTGATACATGAAACCATTTGTTTGACAGAGTTGGATAAATTCTGAGGTTTCAGGGAGGCAGACACATGTCATTGTTTCATTATTTTGGGGTAGAAAGGTAGATTTTGTATTGCCATACTGCCATCTGATTATTCCTAAGCGTGCTGTGAGTTTCAGAATGGTAACAGCAAGTAAGTGCGTGCCTTTTGTATTTAAATTAAATTATATGACCAAGGAGGGTTAGTAGAAGTCACTCATTCCCAGCCAGTTCTTACATTCCACAGATAGTGATTCTAAAGGATTTTAAGAAAAGTTTTAAAAATCAAATAATTCTTATTATTCAAGATGGAGATACACATCCAGACTGAAAATTTTAATAGCAATACTTTGAACATCTGCTAGTTTTTCTCAGTATCAAAGTTTAATAGGACTTATGGAGGTAAATAGTAATTATAAAGAAGGTTTGTACTCACATCTCTTTGTATATATTATTTCTTGTTAAGGTGCTCATCTAATCTGCTAGTAAAAGGCAGTAGGGAATGTGCCATGTAGTCCACTTCGAAGTTTCACTCAGTCTTTATTTTAAAATATCTCCCATTATAATGAGGTTTAATAAAAATGCAGTTATAATAGAAGTAGATGGCTTTGAAATATAAGCCAAACATTTTATTTCTTGGGCTTCAAGGGCTTTGGTTCCCATGTCTGCGAATTCTCCTATTATTTCTTACTGCTGTAATGAAAGCACCGAGGAAAATGACAAAAGGTGATAAAATATTGATGACTCAGTCTGTCAAATTAAAACAATTGGTGGTGTCTAGTTCATTCTGAGGGTGTCTGTCAGGTCAGAACTGCTTCTCATACAGGGTATGGTCTTAGGCAAATATTCCCTTGGAGCTCAATTACAACAGCGTAATTTAGTGAGCCAGTAGAGACAGACTAACGCAGAACCTTAGATAGGAGAGATGTGGGTGCTGCAAATATATTGTCTTGGATAGCCTCTTTGATCTTTCATAAAGGTAGAAGTTACCTTGTTTTATGATTGTTGGTCAAGTATTTCTTCTTTTGTGGTGTGATAGCATCCTAGCATTTCCAAAGTAGCAGTAACCTGTGTCAAATACAGTATTTAGGAAATATTGGAAGTGTGAATCAAAGCCCAATGTTTCTAGGGGGTCTGAATAATTTAGTTACTACATCTTTATATAAAATCAGAAAGTACAGTATTTTATATAGTTACTCTAGCAGACCAAATAAGGGACAATCCATAGTGCATTTGCAAATCTATTTGCATGCAAAAATCCTGCAGCCTCCACCTTAGTTAAATGGGAAAATCCATGCAATCCTGCAAAAAACTGTTCTTTGTACAAGGTTACTGATATGTGAGAAGAACCATAACTCATATCTTTGTCCTTTACTGGTTTGGTCTTGATGAAATAAAGTAAGCTTGCAGTCCGAGCCACAGATGTAAAAACATCAGCATTGTGCTGTAGCAGCTTTGCTGTGTATGTTTGTGTCTTGTTTTACCTCTAATCAAAATGCCCTGGATTGCTGTCTTGCTACGGATGCAGCACGTGCAGTCTTCCATGCCGGCACAGCTAGCAGTTTCAAGTATACTTTTTTTCCCCATGAATTTTCATCTACTTGTTTCATTAACTACTTAGAACATATCACATATTCAGTTAGAGTTGGGTATGTGTTTTTGTGGGTCAGTGTTGCAGATTCTTGTGGCACTACAGTTTTCTGGGAATAGTGGAAAAGCCCTGGGCTGGGTATATCGCTGTTATACCACTTTTTCAGTAGAACATACAACACAACTCAGAGTTACATCATTTATTGTGAAGCCATGTTAACAGAAAGGGCTAACACAGAATATATAGTGAAAAGGTTAAAAACATCAAGTAACTTGGTAATAGGAGTGATTTGTTTGTTTAGATCAAATGCATCTGCTGGGATATAAATATGTTAAAAGCTATGCTGTGTAATCTGAGGGACTTGCGTTTGAACATAGCTACAGGGTTTCACGTTTCAGAATGGCAGTCATTTACAGGAAGCTCACTAGTAAGATTTCTGAGTCCCAACTTTTGGCCAAGCATTAGTGGTTTATGGTATGTGTGGTATCTTAGGCACTGGGGATGAAGCGTAGTGGGTCTTGTTCATCAGGCGCTCTCAGCAACGTGCCCGTTGCTTCCCAAGTCCTTCAGGAGTTTGCAGTCCCAGATCATGTTAGCTCAGTATAGTAGGAAAAACTGTGTTTTCGATGTAATACCCTCAGCATCTGGCATGGACAGTACTGTGGGTTTGGGGCTGACTTACCAATGTCATGTTAGCTTAATATTTTATTCCATTGAAATAATGATGATAATAATAATGACACT